AGTATGTCTGTCAAGGTGTCTGTGTGCATATCTGTATGTGTGTCAGTATGTCTGTGTGTCACTATGTCTGCCAGTCTGTCTTAATATGTCTGTGTGTCAGTATGTCTGTGAGTGTGTATCTTTGTGTGTCAGTGTGTATATCTGTTTATCTGTATTTATTCACTAAATCTTTGTCTTTTTATGTAGTCTTTGTGCATATGTGTATCTGCATCATGTGTTTGTTTGTGTGTTAGTGTTTTTATCTTTGTGTATGTCTATCTCCATTTGTGTTAGGTTGTGTGTATGTGTGTCAGTGTGTATATCTGTATGTTATCATTGTGTGTATTTGTGTATGTTAGTGTTTGTACCTCTGTTTGTATATCTGTCTGTGTATCTGTATATAGTCAGTGTACTTGTCTGTGTATCTGCATGTGTCATGTATGCATCAGTGTGTATGAGTATCCATATGTGTCAGTGTTTGTATATATGTGTATGCAGGTGTGTCAGGTTGTGTTTCTGTGTGTCTATATGTGTCAGTGTGGGTATCTGTGTCAGTGTGGATGTCAGTGTTCATATCCGTGTATTTGTATCACAGTATCACAGTGTGTGTGTGGCATTGTATGTGTACATGTGCAGACATCTCAGCATTCTAAATGCACCCCTGCATTCAAACTTCAACACTACATACAAAAACAGTCCTGCATTCAAATGTCAACACTACATACAAACACACCCCTGCATTCAAAAACACACACTACACATAAATGCATGCCAACATCACATACAAACATACCCTAACATTTACACAAACATACTCCATACAAATACATGCTTCCATTCAAACACACAAACACTGCTCAGTACTAAATACAACCCTGCAAGCATGGGAAAATAGTACCACAGCTGTTGAAGTTGAAAGACAGATGAGGATCTATTGTTTGGCCACCCTTGCGATTGGGACCCCCAAAATTTCTTGCACCAGAGCCCTTTCTGCTTTCATTCTGCTACTGTATTGGAGAATGGAGGACGTGACTGCATGTACGGGAGTGGAGGTTAAGACTCTTACATTCTGTCTCCTTTGGGGTCTAGTGGGGAGCTGACTGTTGACTCCTGCCTCCCTCCACATATCTCAATGTGCTGTAGGAGGAAGTGATAATAATTTCCTCACAGTTCAGAACTAAAACACTAGGGAACTGTTAGCTGAGCTGCTCTTTTCAGGGGCTTGGGCTACTAAGGGGGCCCAATCAAATGCTTTCCCAGGTCCCAATCAATATTAAAGTCGGCCCTGCATCATGTCATGCACACAAAATATGATGTTATTCTAGTAATGTTCTTTTGGTCAGGCACTTAGCTGATATTCCTGCATGTGTCACGAGTTGTAGAGAAGCAGCAGAGTGAATTAGAGTTGATCATACCAGACACCTCACAAAGAGAAGCAGAGTGACATGCCATTACACTATGCAATCGTATACTGCAAATTTCTAGTGCTCTAGCTTAGAAACCTGAGCTGAAGCCAATAATCAGGTAGTACACTGCACTTGCTCTGGTCCTCCAGGCTTGCATAGCAATCAGATTACTGTTGGTAATTATTTTTGTCTAACATGCCAACTCATGCTTCCACAAACAACCTCCATGATTATTGCTCATTAGGGTAGTGGTAGCGGCAATCATGCGCTACTGGATAATGATTACATCATACAGAGTGAAGGTGCGAATCAGGAGAAGTAGAACTGTTTTTTAGGATTGTAGTAATAGGAGTTGTATTCATTTAAATAGTGGATAATGGTGGCAGCTCACTGGTAGCTACTTCCATTACTTCAATATACACTACTTTCTTCATCTAACATCCCTCCCTATATGCCTCTGTGCAGTGCTCTTTTCCCATATTTTATTCCCATGGTTTTCTTTCCAGTGTTTTCTACTTTCCCAAGTTCTACTCAATCTGTCCATTGTTCCCTACATTGATGTATGGTGTAAGAATAAAACTTGAAATGTTTATTAACTTTTAACGTTTTGTTAAAAGAAAAGAAAATAACTTTCAGTTCTTTCAGGAATTATACAAGGTAACTTATTTGAAAGCAGCCTCTATTAAGTAGACTCTTTCAAGTAGGAGTTAGAAAACCAGGAGTTACTTGGAGTGGTTTGTATACTGTGGAGAGTGGTTTGTATTTTATTTTTGTTTAATCTTTAAAGTTGGTAAGGTTTAAAAAAAAAAATATTTTGTTTTTTAAATTTACTTTTTTTTTGTGTTCTGGTTTTCCCCCCTTTTTTTGTGCTGCTGCTTGATTGATTGGGGGAGTGTTCATTGTTTGCACCTGTGTGGGATTTGTATCCCCATAAAGGCACACCCCTAACTCACTGAGCTTGCTCACATTACTTGAAAGCAGACTCTATTAACCCCTTAAGGACGAGTGACGGACGAGGTCCGTCACTCAGGGGAAACCCTTAACGACGAGTGACGGACCTCGTCCGTCACGCGGTAAAATTAACCCTGGATCGCCGCTATTGCGGCGATCGCGGGGTTAATGGTGCTCCGGTATGCCTCTGCATTAGAGGCATACCGGGAGCACCCGGTCAGGCTGCCCAGCACATGTGCTCGCTCTGACCGCAAGTCTGAGCGAGCACATGTGCTCTCTATACTCACCTACCGGCTCCCTGCACTTCCGGGTTCTGTGTGAAGTGCAGGGAGCCGGATCAGTGCTGATCCTGCCCCCTGCTGGAAAAAAAAATAAAGTTTATTTAAAGTTCCCCCCCTTACCCATTTTAATAAAAAATTAACCCCTTCCCTGCCAATTGATCACTGACTACAGTGATCAATTGGCAGGGATTACATTTTACTATGATCTGATTTTTTTTTTTTAACCCCTGAGGGTTAATTCATTTTTTTTTTAACCCTCAGGTTAGATTTATTTAATTAATTAATTAATATATTTTAAAATTATATATTTAGCTAGCTGGGGTGGGTGGAAGTTAGTGGGGAATTGGGGGATTTGGCGTTAGGCTAACTAGGGGTTAACGTTAAAAAAAGTTTTAAAATAACCTTTAAAAAGTAAAAAATTAAGCTTAAAAAATGTTTTTAATAACGTTTAAGTAAAAAAAAAAACCCTTTACCTAGTCCAAATAAAAATTAACCCCTTCCCTGCCAGTCGATCACTGCCTACAGCGATCAAATAGAGATTACAGTATTATACTGTGATCTAATTTTTTTTTAACCCCTGAGGATTAACTTTTTATTTATTTTTTAACCCTCAGGGGTTCAATTTATTTAATTAATTAATTAAAATATTTTATAACTATGTATTTTGCTAGCTGGGGTGGGTGGGAGTTATGGGAAAATGGGGAATTTACTGTTAGTGCTGCCTACTGCTAGTTAGGGGTTAACGGTAAAAAAAAAAGCTTAGAAAAATGTTAAATCTGTAAAAAAAGTTTTAAGAAAGTTTAGGAAAGTTTAAAAAAAACTTACCACTACACCTGGAACAAACTAGAGAAAAAATTATCCCACGCCAAGGTTCAAAATATGCCTTTTGAATTACCCCAGGGTGTATTCTTTAATAAATAGTATGTGTTTGTGGGGAAGTTTCAATAACCAACCGTCTAAACTACTCCAAATTGGAACATGGACACAGCGTAAAACTTCAAAGTTAGAAAAAAACTGAATGGCTGCGTCTCAAATGCGCCCCTTCAACATCCACATATACCTGGCAAAGGTACATACAGGGGTATTGCTGTACTCAGCCGACATAGCTGAGCAACATATGAAGTATTATACAGTCATAGCACACATAAGGTTTGCAAAATATGCTGCGCAAACTCACTTTGTATGTCAAAAAGGCAGAAAAAATGCTTATTACCACTACACTTGGTACAAGCTAGCGGAAAAATGATCCCACGCTAAGGTTCAAAATATGCCTTTTGAAATACCCTGGGATGTCTTCTTTAAGAAATGGTATGGCTTTATGGGGTATTTGGATTATATAGCCTGGTAAAATACTCTAAAATGGGACATAGGCACAGCATAAAAATTCAAAGTTTGAAAAAAACTGGAATGGCTGTGTCCCAAATGTGCCCCTCCGATGTCCACACATACCTGGCAAAGGTACATACGGGGGTATTGCTGTACTCAGCCGACATAGCTGAGCAACATATGAAGTATTATACAGTCGTAGCACACATAAGGTTTTGCAAAATATACTGTGCAAACTCACTTGTATGTCAAAAAGGCAGAAAAAACGCTTATTACCACTACATCTGGTACAAGCTAGCGGAAAAATGATCCCACGCTAAGGTTCAAAATATACCTTTTGAAACACCCTGGGGTGTCTACTTTAAGAAATGGTAGGCCTTTGTGGGGTAGTTTGAATTTAAAACCTGCGAAGATGCTTGGAAATTGCACATAGGCCCAGCGTCAAAATTCAAAGTTTGGTAAAAACGGATATGGCTTGGTCTCCTATATGGCACTGTAGCTTCACGAAATAGTGCCAAAGACATTCATTGGGGTGTCTTTTTACTCAGAAGACTTAGCTGAGCATAATTTGGGAGGTTTGAACTTAGTGGCACATATGAAATATACAAAACGCCCAGCAAAAATGCAATCCCTATGTAAAAAATGCACAAAATAATTTTTTACCACATACTTTGGCATATATTGGTGAAAAAATGGGGGTATGTTAAGGCACAATATACACCTTATAAGATACCCTGGAGTGTCTCCTTTTACAAATGGTAGGCCTTTGTGGGGGTTTTTTGAACAGTCAAACTGTTATAATACCCCAAATGGAAGCTAAGGCTCATTAAATCCATCTCTCAAAATTCTACTGTGAATACTGTAAAGGACAGGTCTCCTATATGGCACTGTAGCTTCACGAAATAGTGCCAAAGACATTCATATGGGGTGTCATTTTTCTCAGCAGATGTAACTGAACACAAAATAAAACTTTGTACAGGAATAGCACACACCAACTTTACAAAATATACACGAGAATTTCTTTGTTATAAGTTTGTGTGCCAAAAACCAAAAAAAACACAATTTTACTCCAATATTTAGCAGAGATTGGCGGTGAAATGGCTACGTAGAAAGTGTCAAAACAACCTTAGGTAAATAGCCCGTGATGTCTACTTTATATAAATATATACTTTTGTGTGGCAATTTTGTTTTCTTTTATGGCTATTAAGCTTACAAGACAAACATACCAAATTCTAAAATCGCTCCACATTAAAAGTCTATTTTACTCCTTGTGCTTTGTGACCTGTAACTACCAAAAAAAACTTAAAATCCCAGACACATTGTATATTCTGTAAATCAGAACAACTAAATTAATTTATTTTTAATTACTTTTCTTAACCTGCACTAATTATGCACACATTATTATTGCAAAAACTGTAAAAAAAAAACAAAATTTTCATTTTTTTTACATTTTTCTGTATTTTTTTATAATAAATAAGCATTTATATATATGTGTGTTACATCAAATTAAAGCCCTTTCTGTCCTTTAAAAAACGATGTATAATATGTGTTGGTGCAACAAATAAGTAAAATGCAAATTGCAGTTGAACGCAAACAGCAAAAAATTAAAAAAATGCCGTTGTCATTAAGTGAAAGACAAGCTTTTGAAGCTCTGTCCTTAAGGGGTTAAGTGGACTCTTTCAAGTAGGAGTTAGAAAACCAGGAGTTTAAACTATCAAGGTAATTGTTTTTATTTACTGTTTAAAGGGGAAATGAGTGTTAGCAAGATTGCTGGTTTAACTCAATGCACATCTTGTTGCATGTATGGCTGCCTGGATGTACCCATCCAGGGTCCATACCTCTGTGATGGTTGTGTGCGAGTGGCTTCTCTGGAAGCTCAGATTGGAGATCTCGAGAAGCAAATCGCAACATTGAGGGAGATTGACAATCTTGAGAGGAGTCTACTGCTCACTGAGCAGAGTTTAGTGGGGACAGGTAGTGGAGAGGGAGGAGATAAGACAGATGGGGAACAGGCATGTAGCTGGGTGACAGTGGGGCGAGGAAGCAGGGGGGAGGGAAGAGGAAAGGGCTAGCTAGTCCTGATTTGGTGCAACCTAGCAGATTTGCCCGTTTGAGGGAAGATGTTGGGAGCATCAGCTCAGGAGTAGCTGTATTAGAGGAAGTTGTTACTTCTAACAGCCGAGCTAACAGCCCCCCTAGTACGGGTGGGGATCAAAATGTAAGGAAGGCAAGACAGGTTGTGGTGGTAGGGGACTCTATCATTAGGAGAGCAGATAGGGCAATCTGCCGCTCTGATCGGCTCAACCGGACAGTTTGCTGTCTCCTGGGTGCTCGGGTCCGGCATGTTGCTGACAGAGTGGATGGATTATTGGAAGGGGCTGGGGCTGACCCAGCGGTCATGGTCCATGTTGGTATCAATGACAAAGTAATAGGAAGATGGAAGGTCCTAAAGAATGATTTCAGGGAATTAGGTAGCAAACTTAAGAAAAGGACCTCCAAGGTGGTATTCTCTGAGATATTACCGGTGCCACGCGCTACAGTGGAAAGGCATCGGGAGATTAGAGAGGTCAATGCGTGGCTTAAGTCTTGGTGCAGGAAGGAGGGTTTTGGGTTTTTAGAGCACTGGGCCGACTTTGCGATTGGGTACAACCTTTATAGTGGTGATGGATTGCACCTAAACGGGAGAGGGTCTGCAGTGCTGGGGATAGGATGGCTAGAAGGTTGGAGGAGATTTTAAACTAGTAGTAGGGGGGGAGGGTCATAGCAATCTACAAAATGGAGATAGGACAGAAAGGAGATGGGCTTTAGCACAGTATAAGGGGGTGGAAACGGGGGGAGGGGCAAGCTCAGAACAGAGAAGCTGTGTAATGTTGAAAATTCACAAAATATACAAGTGACGCATAATATTAAATGTATGCTTACTAATGCAAGGAGCCTAAATAACAAAATGGGGGAACTAGAGGCATTAGCATACACTAAACAATATGATATAATAGGCATAACTGAAACATGGTGGGATGAGACACATGACTGGGCAGCTAACTTAAATGGGTACATGTTATTTAGGAAGGATAGGAAAAACAAGAAGGGTGGTGGGGTATGTTTGTATGTCAAACATGATTTAAAGCCAAATGTTAAGCAAATGGAATGCGAGGAGGATAATGTGGAAGCTTTATGGGTAAATATCTGCTTGGGGGAAAAGAAGGGAAACCAACTATTGGTTGGGATATGTTATAAACCACCTAATGTTAATATTGACGAGGAACAACAGCTGTTTGAGCAAATTGAGAAAGCTGCAAATCTGGGTAACACTTTAATTATTGGAGATTTTAATTACCCGGATATAAATTGGGACAGAGGGACTAGTGCCTCAGCAAAGGGAATTAGGTTTTTAAACCTGTTAAATAACACCTTCATGTCACAACTTGTGCAAGCACCAACTAGAATGGATGTTTGTCTGGACCTGGTTTTAACCAACAACGTTGATCTTTTGACCAACATTCAAGTAGGTGAGCACTTGGGAAATAGTGATCACAATATAGTGTCCTTTGAAATAAACTCAAAAAAACAAAAGCACATGGGGAATACTAAAACATATAATTTTAAAAAGGCCAATTTCAATAAGTTAAGGGAAGCTTTACAATATATTGACTGGCATAAACTCTTTAGTGAAAAGAACACTGAGGATAAATGGATCATCTTCCAACAAATATTGCAAAGGTACATTTCTCAGTATGTACCGTTGGGAAATAAATATAAAAAACAAATTAAAACCAATGTGGCTTAGTAGAGAAGTAAAACAAGAGATTACAACTAAGAGAAGGGCATTTAAAGCATTTAAATCGGACAAATCAGATGCATCTTATAAAAGATATAAGGATGCAAATAATGCGTGCAAAAAGGCAATTAGACTTGCTAAACTTCAAAATGAAATAATGATAGCTGAAGAGAGCAAAACCAACCCCAAAGCATTTTTTAAGTACATAAATTCTAAAAACAAAACAAAATGAAAGTGTAGGTACACTAAAAACTGAAACGGGGGTGTTAATTAATGAAGACCAGGAAAAGGCAGGAATTTTAAATAACTATTTCTCCTCCGTATATATTAAGGAAGAACCCATGGCAATAGATGTGCAAATGATTGCTACTAAAAACTTGCAGAATAATTGTAATTGGTTAACTCAAGACAAGGTGCTGCAGCAACTAAAGAAAGTTAATATAAACAAAGCTCCAGGGCCTGACGGTATCCATCCACGTGTACTTAAGGAACTAAGTGCAGAAATAAGTGAACCTCTGTTTTTAATCTTTAAAGATTCTTTTCTTTCAGGAAGTGTTCCGGAGGATTGGAGGAAGGGAGATGTGGTTCCTATATTCAAAAAGGGTTAAAAATCCTTGCCTGGAAATTATAGACCTGTGAGCTTAACTTCTGTGGCTGGTAAAATATTTGAAAGGTTATTAAGGGATAATATTCAAGAATTCCTTGAGAAGAACATGGTTATCAGCAAAAATCAGCACGGTTTTATGAAGCACAGGTCATGTCAAACTAACTTGATTGCGATTCTATGAAGAAGTAAGTAGAAGTATAGATCAGGGTGTTGCCGTGGATGTGATCTATTTGGATTTTGCCAAGGCATTTGATACAGTTCCACACAATAGATTAGTGTTCAAACTCAAGGAAATCGGTCTAGATGAAAATGCTTGTTCTTGGATAGAACATTGGCTTAAAAACAGAGTACAAAGAGTTGTCATTAATGGTAAATTTTCAAGATGGACAGAGGTGGCAAGTGGTGTCCCTCAGGGGTCTGTTCTGGGACCCCTTCTATTTAACATGTTTATAAATGATCTAGAAGACCGCATTGAAAGTCATGTTTCAGTGTTTGCAGATGACACCAAACTTTGTAAAACAATACAATGTGAGCAAGATATTACTTTGCTGCAGAGGGACTTAGATAGACTGGGGGACTGGGCACTCAAATGGCAGATGAAATTTAATGTTGAAAAATGCAAAGTTATGCACTTCGGCGTAAAGAATACACAAGCAACGTATACCCTTAATGGAAGCGAATTAGGGATAACACATGAAAAGGACTTGGGAATTGTTATAGACAACAAACTATGCAACAATGTGCAATGTCAATCAGCAGTGGCCAAGGCCAGTAAGGTATTGTCATGCATGAAAAAGGGCATTCATTCTCGGGACAAGAATATAATTTTGCCTCTTTATAAATCACTGGTAAGACCCCATATTGAATATGCTGTGCAATTTTGGGCACCTGTTCTAAAGAAGGATATTATGGCACTAGAAAAAGTGCAGAGGCGGGCTACAAAATTAATAAAAGGAATGGAACATATTGGCTATGAAGAAAGGTTAACAAATTTAAACCTATTTAGTTTAGAAAAACGTCGCCTGAGAGGGGATATGATAACATTATACAAATATATTTGTGGCCAATACAAACCATTGTGTGGAAATCTATTCACAAACCGGACTTTACATAGGACACGAGGCCATGAGTTTAGACTGGAAGAAAGAAGATTTCGCCTAAGGCAAAGGAAAGGTTTTTTTACTGTAAGAACAATCAGGATGTGGAATTCTCTGCCTGAGGAAGTGGTTTTATCAGAGTCCATACAGATGTTCAAACGGCTACCAGAAGATATTCAAGGATATTCTTTCAATGTAGGGTAAAAACTGCTTGATCCAAGGATAAATCTGACTGCCATTCTGGGGTCAAGAAGGAATTTTTTTCCTAGTTTGTTGCAAAATTGTGCTTCAAACTCGTTTTTTTTGCCTTCTTTTGGATCAACAGCAAAAAACAAATGTGAGGTAGGCTGAACTTGATGGACGCAAGTCTCTTTTCAGCTATGTAACTATGTAACTATGTAACTATAACAGAAAGAAAATGTTTTCTAAGTAATTTTATGCAGCAAAAAACTTTTCCAAGCTTTATTGAAGATCTGATGGGAGTTACTGTCCTTGTGAGGTGAAAACATTCTTAATCTCTTGTATAGAAAATGTCTTCTAACAAAATTAGTAATTTAAAGAAACAGTTCTTTATAGGAGGCATGTATTCCTTTTTATAAAGCGTGCAATAAAACAAAGTCAAATAATAAAGCAAATGTCCTCTTCCTTTTTTTTTGGAGATGATAATAAGAAATGTGTGCAGGCATTTTATGTCATACCTTGAAATCAATCCAAATAACGGTGGAGTCCAAAAGCTAAGGAATCTTGTCAGAATAAAGGGGTGAGCCAGATGCAGAATGAAAGCCAAGCCAAGTTTGAAAGCCAGAGTGTCTTTTCCGAAATACTTGCTATG